GGTCCCTCAGGCCACCCAGTCCCCTGCCCTGCAGCCCGGGGAGTGGAGTAGGTTGCTCTGAGCCAGCCCCGACGGGCTCCCGGTTCGTGCTAGGACACCCCGGAGCCCCAAAAGGGACACCCTCCTGGGACAGCCTTGCTCGCCAAGCATTGTCCCCTGCTCACAGCTGAGCCGGCATGGCAGTGTCCCTCGTCGGACACCCCACAATAAAGCAAAGCGCCGGTGGGGCAGGACAACAGCACCGAGCCCAAAACTACGCCCGAAGCCAAGCAACACCGGCCGCCCATGCACCAATACCCTGCTGCAGGCAGGATGGGACCAGGCTGTCAAGGGCCGTCCCGGACCTGCGCTCATAGCCACGGCCCAGCGTGGGAAACCCGCTTGTGCCGACACCTCTGGGGGTCCCCCACTCCTGCCCCAAACGCAGTAGAGTCCGAACGCCCCTGGCTCCCATGTAGAAAGGGACAGCAGAGGCATCAGTCTGCGCTGAAGCCCAGCAAGACAACTCTGAACAGACACAGACAACGAAACCACCTTGTGCCAGCCGCTTTCCCCCTTGAGAACGGAGGTCGTACACAGGCAGGTAAACGGGAAGATTCTGAATTCCCCTCAACTGCACCGCTGCTACACAAGCCATGACAGCTCTCGCACGCTTACAAGCACCGCGATCCCTTCCTCCCCCTCTCCCCCACAGCGGTCCGAGCAGGCTATGTCCTCCCTTCACCCTGGGAGCAACCGAAAGAGGCCGGGACAACGCCCGGGGCCCATACCAGGCAGGGGACAGGCGGGAAGAAGGCCGATGGGCCCCGTCGAGATCTCTTCGGGACCTCGGCCCGCTCCCTCCAAGACGCAGCAGAATAGGTCACCCCGTTCCCGGGTGTGAGAGGCTGCAGGTTAACCGCGCCGGGATCCCGGGAAGAGGCTCTGTGGGAAGCCAGTGGTGCAGTGGGGTGGGGGGGATGTCCCCTTCCCTGTCTGACCCTCACGGTGGCTCCTCTCCCGGGGCGGAGGGAGTGGGCACACAGCTGAAGAGAAGGGGGTTTCGTTTGGTAACGCCCCCCCCCCAACACGTCCCCTTCTACTTTCCTCGCCGGTAAGCTTCCCCCTCTCTTAGCAAAGCCGGGCCAGAGGGGGTCTGAAGGGGTCCCGCTGGAGCACCCCGGGGGGTGAACGGACCTACCTGAGCGCCGGGTACTGAAGTCCGGCCGCAGGTGAGCAGTAGACGCTGC